AGAAGAAAGGAGGAGTCAGACACATGAAAAGGCACAAAAACCTAATACAGTAGAGGGAAAAAAGGGAGGAAAATGAGCATTGTTTGAACCTTACTCTCATCAGATTTGGTTCAAAGAGGGAATAATAATCAGTTAGGTATAGAAATCTAACTTACCCTCTAAGAAGTAGGAGGGAAAAGGGAAAAGAAAAGGTAGGAATGAATAGAAGGGAGGGAAGAAGAAGAAAGAGTAAAAGGGAAGACAACGGAGGGAACTAATAGAAGGGAGGGCAGACTGAGGGAGGCAGTGGTTGGAAGTAAAACTCTACTGAGGAGGGAGAGAGAGAAAGAAGAGAGAAAAGCATAAACAGGGAGTGAAATAAGATGGGAAGGAAGACACAGATAGTAATCATAACTGTGAATGTGAATGGGATGAACTCTCCCATAAAATGGAAACAGAGAGCACAGTGGATAAAGAACCATAATCCAATAATATGTTGTTTACAAGAAACATAGTTGAAGTAGAGGGATACACACAGAGTAAAGGTAAAAGGCTGGAGTAGAATGTATTATGCTTCAACTGAAGTAAAAAAAAGCAGGGGTAACAATCCTATCTCAGACAAAGCAAAAGCACAAATAGATCTAATTAAAAGCGATAAGGAAGGAAACTACACCCTAAAAGGTACCACAGACAATGAAGTAATATCATTACTAAACATATATGCACCAAGTGTTATAGCACCCAAATTCTTAAAGGAGAAGTTAAGGGAAATATAGGAAGAAACAGACAGCAAAACTATACTAGTGGGGGACCTCAACCTCCCCCTCTCTGAACTACATGAATCTAACCACAAAATAAACAAGAAAGAAGTTAAGGAGATGAATAGACTTTTAGAAAAGTTAGACATGGTTGGCCTCTGGAGAAAACTGAATGGAGACAGAAAGGAATATACCTTTTTCTCAGCAGTACATGGCACCTACACAAAATTGACCATGTATCAGGCCACAAAAACCTCACAATCAAATGCAGAAAGGCAGAAATATTAAATGCATCCTTTTCAGTTCATGATGCAATAAAAAATTTAATAAAAGACCATGGAAAGATAGACTAAAAATTAATTGGAAACTAATCTAATCCTAAAGAATAAGTGGGTCAAACACTAAATCATAGAAACAATAACTTCATCCAAGAGAATGACAATAATGAGACAACATACCAAAACTAATGGGATGCACCAAAAGTGGTTCTTAGGGGAAGTTTTATATCTCTAAAGACTTACATGAATAAAATAGAGAAAGAAGAGATTAATGAATTGGGCATGTAACTAAAAAACCTAGAAAAAGAACAAATTAAAAACTCCAATTAAATATCAAATTCTAAATTCTGAAAACCAAAGGAAAGATTAATAAAATTGAAATTAGGAAAACTATTGAACTAATAAATAAAACTAAAAGCTGGTTTTATGAAAAAAAAAACAATAAAATAGATAAGCCTTTGGTTAATTTGATTAAAAAAAAGAAAGAAGAAAACCAAATTACCATCATCAAAAATGAAAAGGGTGAATTACCAAACAATGAAGAGGAAATTAAAACAATAATTACGAGCTATTTTGCCCAATGTATGCCAATAAATTTGATAATGTTAATAACATGGATGAATATTTACAAAAATATAAATTGCCCAGATTAACAGAAGAGGAAACAAACTACTTAAACTACCTTATTTCAGAAAAAGAAATTGAACAAGCCATCAATTTCCCTAAGAAAAAATCTCCAGGGCAGGATGGATTTAAAAGTGAATTCTATCAAACACTTAAAGAACAACTAATTGCAATACTATATAAACTATTTGCAAAAACAGGTAAAGAAGGAGTCCTCCCAAATTCTTTTTTATGACACAAACATGATGCTGATAACTAAACCTGAAGAGCCAAAACAGAGAAAGAAAATTATAGACCTATTTCCCTAATGAATATAGATGCAAAAATTCTAAATAAAATATTAACAAAGAGATTACAACAACTTATCTTGAGGATAATACACTATGCCCGGGTAGGATCTATACTAGGAACGCAGGGCTGGTTCAACATTCGGAAAACTATCAGTATGATTGACCATATCAACAACAAAACTAACAGAAATCATACGATTATCCCAATAGATGCAGAAAAAGCAGTTGACAAAATACAACACCCATTCCTATTAAAAACACTAGAGAGCATAGGAGTAAATGGAGTCTTCCTTAAAATAACAGGTAGCATTTATCTAAACCATCAGCAAGCATTATATGTAATAGGGATAAGCTAGAAGCATTTCCAATAAGATCAGAGGTGAAACAAGGATGCCCATTATCACCACTGTTATTCAATATTGTGCTAGAAATGTTAGCTGTAGCAATTAGAGAAGAAAAAGAAATTGAAGGAATTAGAATAGGCAAAGAAGAAACAAAGCTATCACTCTTTGCAAATGATATGATGGTATATTTAGAGAATCCTAGAGAATCAAGTAAAAAATTACTTGAAATAATAAACAAATTTAGCAAAGTTGCAGGATATAAAATAAACCCACACAAATCATTGGCATTTCTATATATTTCTAACAAAGCCCAACAGCAAGAGATAGAAAGAGAAATTCCATTTAAAATTACTGCAGATATTATAAAATAATTGGGAGTCTACCTGCCAAAACAGAAATTACATGAACACAATTACAAAACATTTTTCACACAAATAAAGTCGGATCTAAATAACTGGAAAAATATCAGTTGCTCATGGGTAGAATGAGCTAATATAATGAAAACGACAATTCTACCTAAATTAATTTACTTATTCAGCACCATACCAATCAAACTACCAAAATATTATTTTACAGAGCTAGAATAAACTATATCAAAATTTATCTGGAAGAACAAAAGATCCATAATATCAAGGAAACTAATGAAAAGAAATGCAAGAGAAGGTGGCCTAGCTGTACCAGATCTTAAATTGTATTATAAAGCAGCAATTATCAAAACTACTTGGTACTAGCTAAGAAACAGAGTGGTGGATCAGTGGAATAGATCATGTATGCAAGACACAACAGTCAATGACTACACTAATCTACTATTAGATAAATCCAAAGACCCCAGGTTCTGGGATAAGAATTCACTATTTAACAAAAACTGCTGGGAAAACTGGAAAATATAATGGCAGAAACTGGGCATAGACCAACATCTTATACCGTATACCAAGATAAAGTCAAAATGGGTACAGGATTTAGATATAAAGACTGAAACTATAAACAAACTAGAAAAGCAAGGAATAGTTTACCTTTCATATCTATTGAGAAGGGAAGAATTTATGACCAAACAAGAGACAGAGAACATTATGAAATGCAAAATGGATAATTAAATTGAAAAGTTTTCGCACAAACAAAGCCAATGCATCCAAGATTAGGAGGGAAGCAGAAAATTGAGAAAGAATTTTTTACAACCAGTGTGTCTGATAAAGCCCTCATTTCTAAAATATATAGAGAACTGGGTCGAATTTATAAGAATACAAGTCATTCCCCAATTGATAAACGTCAAAGGATATAAACAGGCAGTTTTCAGAGGAAGAAACTAAAGGTATCTATAGTCATATGAAAAAATGTTCTAAATCACTACTGATTAGAGAAATGCAAATCAAAATGACTCTGAGGGTGGCAGCTAGGTGGTGCAGTGGATAGAGCACCAGCCCTGGAGTCAGGAGGTGCTGAGTTCAAATCCGGCCTCAGACACATAATACTTCCTAGCTGTGTGACTCTGGGCAAGTCATTTAACCCCAATTGCCTCACTAAAAAAAGAAAAAAAAAAAGAAAAGGAAAAAAAATGACTCAGGTACCACATCACATCTATCAGAACGGTTACCATGACAAAACAGGCCAATGATAAATGATGGAGAAGATGTGGGAAAATGGGAACAAAAATGCATTGTTGGTAAAGTTGTGAACTGATCCAACTATTCTAGAGAGCAATTTGGAACTATGGAACATAAAACTGTGCATACCCTTTAACCCAGCAATAACAATTCTAGGTCTGTATCCCAAAGAGAACATAAAAATCGGAGAAGGACCCACATGTACAAAAATATTTATAGCAGCTCTTTCTGTAGTGACCAAGAATTGGAAATTGAGGGGATACCCATCAACTGGGGAATGGCTGAACAAGTTGTGGTATATGAATATAATGAAATACTATTGTGCTGTAAGAAATGATGACCAAGCAGACTTCAGAAAAACCTGGAAATACTTATATGAACTGATGCCGAGTGAAATGAACAGACCCAGGAGAACACTGTACACAGTAACAACTACATTATGCGATGACTGGCTTTGATAGACTTAGTTCTTCTCAGTAATGCAAAGATCTAAGACAATTCCTAAAGACTCACAGTGGAAAATGCTACCCACAACCAGAGAAAGAACTACGGAGTCTGAATGCAGATGAAGCATACTATTTGCTCTCCTTTTCCTTTGTTGTTTTGTTTTATTGCTTCATTCTCAAGGTTCCTCCCATTAGTTCTAATTGTTCTTTTATCATGACTAATGGGAAAATACACTTAATATGTTTTTTTAAAGGCAACTGGGCTTAAGTGACTTGCCCAGGGTGACATAGGTAGTAAGTGTCAAGTATTTGGTCTGAGGCCAGATTTGAACTCAGGTCCTCCTGACTTCAGGGCCAGTGCTCTATCCACCGTGCCACCCAGCTGCCCCTGAAAATATGCTTAATATGAATGCATAAATAGAGCCTATAACAGACTGAGCGCCGTCTTGGGGGTGGGGAGGGAGGAGAGGGAGAGGTAGAAAATTTAAAACTCAAAATCTTATGGAAGTGAATGCTGAAAACTAAAAATAAATAAATAATTTTTTTTAAAAATGTAATTCCCCACCCAGATAGAGTAAATACTACCATTTCCAAATAGCTTGGAACCAAATTAATTTTACATAATTGAATATTTTGGGTAAATAAGAGGAGATCAAAATACACATAAAGTTTTTCCTTACCTTCTAAGCTGCCTTCCTTCTCTGACAGTCAAAGTCCCCAATGGACCAGGTAACTCAGTCTCCCTAGTAGGCAAAGGTAAGCAATGAATGATCAAGGTATAGATCAGCAATTGCGTCAGGTTTACCTAGTTTGACAACCGCACACAAGGCCAGGAATTATCACTGCTCAATGTGCAAGGTTTCTAAGATGGACTAAGACAGACAGTTTGCTAATGCTTAGGTCTGCCAGAGACTGTGTGCATCCCAAGAAACACACTCCTCCATGAATATTAAGTTTACCATTCTTCCAGGAGATAGAAAACCAAAGAAATCTATCACACAGTTAATTTTAGAGGACAGAACTATGACCAAATGGAGATATCAGCTGAGGTGCACAGGGCAGAGATTGAAAGGAGCAGTTTCAAAGTTAAAAAAAAAATCTATTCAAAATCACTATATCAGAGGCCCAGGATAAATGTGTGCTGAGAATCAAAAACATTGGGCATTGGTGGAAAAGAGGGTGCATGGCTAACCAACAAAATAAAAGAGTTATCTCATGAGGAAACTCAACTTTCCAAAGAAAGATTATATAAAGGAGAACAGGAGAAATGAGGCGAATAAGGCAGAAACTAGAAATTCAGTATGCCAGAAAATAATTCAAGGAGAATTCAATATAGTTCAAGAGACTATAAAACCAAAAAAGATATTCTTTTATTACATTAAAGAGAAAAAAATACTGTCTACAGAATCTATGAGACCATTTAATGATTATTGGTACAAATGGTAAACCTAAGACTAAAAGGAGATAGAAGAGAGATTACATTGATTTTGATTGAGTCTTTACTTTTGGAATTGTCTATCCCTAATTGTCTTTTGATACATATAAGACAGAAACAAGTTATGAGATGCTAAATAAAAGAATGACAAATACACAGGGTTTCTTAGACCTGACAAACTCAGTATAGATCAATCAATCAATAAAATTAGATGGCATCTGCCTAAGAGTTTTAAAGGGCTAAATTGGAGAACTGTTTGGTCAAAGTCGATGTAATCTGACATTATTAATATTACTACACTTCTGTTAGAAGACTGACAGATTTTTAGCACTATTCCCTTCTATATGAAGAGCTCCAGAGGAGATCATATGAACCAAAACTTTGTGCGTCTTGCTTCCAAAGTAGTAAGCTGATAGAATTTATAATAAGCACTGAATCCCTAAATAAAAACTTACTGAGGAAAAGGCAACATTTTGCTGCAAAGAAAAATAATGCTTGACTAATATGTCTCTGAGTTCTGTGAAAGGACTCTGAATATGCATTCTTTAGACTACAAACAACTAAGTTTAAGAACAAAACAACAGGAAGGACAACAACAACAAATTAAGCACAGGAATAAGACAGGAAATGAGAGACAGTTTGACATATGGTTAGAGACCTAGCCTCTACGTCAGGAAGAACTGGTTCAAATCCTGCCTTGGACAAATATTGGCCGCATGACACTAGGCAAGTCACTTTTCTTCCTGGTGCCCCAGATACTACAAACTGTAAGAAAGTGCTGATCTTCAATTGTCAAGAGTATTTCCTTACCAGGAGTTTCCCAATCTAATAATCATATGCTGATGTTTTAATCAAAATTTTTCCATTCTGTAATTCAAAGAATTTTTTTAAAGACACTGGAAAAGGTAAACCTTTGGCAAGAAGCAAAGACAACTGCCTATAAAGTTATGAATTAGGCACACACTTAAATTCTCCATCCTTAATGATCTTTAGAGTATATTACTGAAATAATGGGGAGCAGACCCTGTATTACTAGAATTCATTATCCCAAGAGTTGGTATAGATTAACAATTAAGGTTTAGACTCAAGAAATGTTTAAATCCTTAGATGACAGATCCGTAACAGGCTATCAAAAGAAATGAGGACAAAACTGCCGTGAAGTCCTAGAACCCGAAGGTAAAAAAAACAATAGAAAGAATCCATTGCTCCCCCGCCTGAAAGAGATCCCAAATTGAAAACGCCAAGGAATATAATAGCTAAATTCCAAAATTACCAGATTAAAGACAAATTACTGCAAGCAGCCAGAAAGAAACAATTTAAATATCATGGAACCACAGTCAGGATTACACAGGACCTTGCAGCCTCTACATTAAAAGGCTGTAGGGCATGGAACATGATATTCCATAATGCAAAGGGGCTTGGAATGCAGCCAAGAATTAACTACCCAGCAAAAATGAGCGTGATTTTCCAGGTAAGGAGCTGGATATTCAACGAAATAGGGGACTTCCAAACCTTCCTGATAAAAAGACCAGAGCTCAACTAAAAATTTGATCTTCAAGTACAAGATTCAAAAGAGACATAAAAAGGTAAATGGGTCAGAAAGGTACAATATATTGTTAATAAGGGCAAAATGTTTACATCCCTACAAGGGAAGGTGACACTTGCAACTCTTGAGAACTGTATTGTTATTATACCATGTTAAAGGAGTATACATAAAAGGGGTGGATATAAGTTGACTTTGATGTAATGATAAAAAAAAAAATTTAATCAAGTGGGTTAAATGGATCCAAGTAAGTGGATTAGTCTGAGCTAAGAAAATGTACTGAGAAAGGAGGAGGCAGACACGGGTAAATTACATTATGGGAAAAGACCCAAAAACCTATTAGAGCAGAGTAAAGAAGGGAGGGGGATGAGCATTTTTTGAACTTTACTCTCATCAGATTTGGCTCAAGAAAGGAATAACATAATCAGTTAGGTATAGAAATCTAACTTACACTATAGGCAGTAGGAGGGAAAAGGGGAAAGAAAAGGGAGGGGGGATAGAAGGGAGAGAAGAAGCAGTAAGGGTAAAGGGGAAGAAAAGGGAAAGGGATAATAGAAGGGAGGTGGGACTGAAGGAGGTGGTGGTCAAAAGCAAAACACCAGTGAGTGGGGGAAAGGAGAAAGGAGAAAGAAAAACACAAACAGGGGGGAAAAAGGATGAAGAAAAAGACACAGTAATCATAACTGTGAATGTGAATGGGATGAACTCTCCCATAAAACGGAAGCATATAGCAGAGTGGATTAAAAACCATAATCCTACAATATGTTGTTTACAGGAAACACATTTGAAAAAGAGTGACACATACAGGGTGAAGGTAAAAGGCTGGAGCAAAATATATTATGCTTCAGCTGAAGTAAAAAAAGCAGGGGTAGCAATCCTGATCTCAGACAAAGCAAAAGCAAAAACAGATCATATCAAAAGACATCAGGAAGGAAACTATATCCTGCTAAAAGGCACCATAGACAATGAAGTAATATCATTACTACACATATATGCACCAAATGGTATAGCATCCAAATTCTTAGAGGAGAAGTGCAGGGAGTTACAGGAAGAAATAGACAGCAAAACTATACTAGTGGGGGACCTCAACCTCCCCCTCTCTGAACTAGATAAATCTAACCACAAAATAAACAAGAAAGAAGTTAAAGAGGTGACTAGAACATCAGAAAAGTTAGGTATGGTAGACCTCTGGAAAAAACTGAATGGGGATTAAAAGGAATATACTTTTTTTCTCGGCGGCACATGGCACATACACAAAAATTGACCATGTACTAGGGCATAAAAACCTCACAATCCAATGCAGAAAGGCAGAAATATTAAATGCATCCTTTTCAGATCATGATGCAATAAAAATTATATGTAATAAAGGGCCATGGAAAGATAGATTAAAAAACAAGTGGAAACTAAATAATCTAATCCTAAAAAATGATTGGGTCAAACAACAAATCATAGAAACAATCAATAATTTCATTCAAGAGAATGACAATAATGAGTCAACATAAAAAAATTTATGGGATGCAGCAAAAGCAGTTCTTAAGTGAAGTTTTATATCTCTAAATGTTTACATAAATAAAATAGAAAAAGAGGAGATCTATGAATTAGGCATACAACTAAAAAAAACTAGAAAAAGAACAGATCAAAAATCCTCAATTAAACACCAAATTAGAAATATTGAAAACCAAAGGAAAAATTAAGAAAATAGAAATTAAGAAAACTATTGAACTAATAAATAAAACTAAGAGCTGGTTTTATGAAAAAACCAATAAAACAGATAAACCTTTGGTTAATCTAATTTAAAAAAAGAAAGAAAAAAACCAAGTTTACTAATATCAAGAATGAAAAGGGTGAAGCTACCACCAAGGAAGAGGAAATTAAAACAACAATTAGGAATTTTTTGCCCAACTATATGCCAATAAATTTGACAATCTGAGTGAAATGGATACATATTTACAAAAACATAAATCGCCCAAATTAACAGAAAAGGAAGTAAAATACTTAAATAACCCCATCTCAGAAAAAGAAATTGCACACACCATTGATGAACTCCCTAGGAAAAAAATCTCCAGGGCCAGATGGATTTACATGCGAATTTTATCAAACATTTAAAAAACAATTAATTCCAACACTACATAGACTATTTGGTAAAATAGGTGAAGAAGGAATCTTACCAAATTCTTTTTATGATACAAATACGGTGGTGATACCTAAATCAGGAAGAGTCAAGACAGAGAAAGAAAATTATAGACCAATTTCTCTAATGAATATCGATGCAAAAATTTTAAACAAAATATTAGCAAATAGATTACAGCAACTTATCACAAGAATAATATACTATGACCAGGTAGGATTTATACCAGGAATGCAGGGCTGGTTCAATATAAGGAAAACTATCAGCATAATTCATCATATCAACACTGAAACTAAAAGAAACCACATGATCATCTCAATAGATGCAGAAAAAGCTTTTGACAAAATACAACACCCATTCCTATTAAAAACACTAGAGAGCACAGGTATAAATGGAGTCTTCCTTAAAATAATAAATAACATCTACCTAAAATGCTCAGCAAGCATAATATGTAATGGGGATAAGCTAGAAGCATTTCCAATAAGATCGGGGGTGAAACAAGGATGTCCGTTATCATCATTGTTACTCAACATCGTACTGGAAACGTTAGCTTTAGCAATAAGAGAAGAAAAAGACATTGAAGGTATTAGAATAGGCAAAGAAGAAACAAAGCTATCACTCTTTGCAGATGACATGA